TATTCAGTATCCGTGAGTTTGTATCAACATGCGTATTCAAAGCGGGTTGTGTGTCTTCGATTACTATCGGCTGTATATGTATAGCTTTGTCACATATTTTCCTTGTAGCTCTCCCAGCAATACCAATATGCACTGGATCCATGGGCATCAAGATTCAAAAAAAAATCTTGCCAATGATGGCTAAATTGACTGTGTCATATATTTGTGAATAATTGCATAATACACGTACAAATCCCATACTTCGTGTTCTGAGGCTGGCGACTCGTTGCACAACTGTCAGTGCCTTAAAGAGCGCATAGGCCAATCGTGCAATATGTTTATAGTTACTGGGTATATTGTGATCGTTCTAAATGTATCAGTTGTCTAAAATGAAAAACTTGATATACAAGTTTTGTGTTTTAGTCGTTATTATCGCACCTGAACTACGAATTCGAGTTACCCTTACACACTGCTGGTTTAACCTGGTATCTGCCGAAGTATCTATAGAGTCTGTTGAAGAAATTGCAGGTGTTGTCCAAACAGTCCGAATAGATAGTGACATACCAACTAGTTTCACAAAGAACAGTAGTATTTGTCGCCCCTTAAATTTTATAAAGTTTTTCTTATCACGCTGGCCATATTATAAGTTACTAAGAAGTCACTGGTATAAGTTCTAAGCGAGACGCGATAGTGTTTGCCATCAGGTATTTTTTCCGTATCTGCGTCACAAACTATGTCAACTAATAACGACCTCTGATATATACTTATGTCGTGCAGGACCACATGAGCTACAAGTAGGTAAGTGGTTTACTAAGCCTGCTTAACGTATTCTCTGCATTGAGGTGATTAAGCCAGAATATTTGTGACAAGGGGGGTACAACCAGTGACAACCTCAGGTTCGGTTCATTGGACCAGTTAATCGCACATGTTTCACCGTTCGTCGCGCATGTTTCAGCTGCAAGATAGATCCTAAACAGATACCTCAGATTTAATATATCAATTTTCAGTCATCGCTAGTTAACCCCAGTAGTACAAAGCAAAATAGAGGGCGGGCTGAGGATTGAGGCGATACCTTTGTTGCTCAACTGCAATTAAAATTGGTCGATGAAAGAAAACTTTTTTTGTCACGAAATATCCCTCCAGAATATTCCTCATCAACTTATTGCCAACAAAGCTCCCAATGCTGCCTTAAAAAAACTTTGTCTAACTAATATATCCTATTCATCTCACGTTGTTTGTCCCTATACAGAGCTAGCGCACTTCAAAGCGAGAAACAGCTAAATTTAAGAGAAACAGTACATCCAATGACTGAATAGAGTAAGTTTACACGGTAGTCATAGTTGTAAATCCGGCTACGATTTCAATCTATTCGCTCTTCATGTATCTGAGAATTCAAGGGTTTAGGGTATAATATGTTCTATATTCGCAACCAAACCTTGCTGTTGAATAGCAGTGCATTGTACATGTTCTAGAAGGTCGGCGAGTATTTTGTCACACTTGACTACGTTTTAGTCGGTGTCTTCAGTTATTGTTTTCAAGATGCAACAGGCTCGGTGGAAGTTTCACAGGCTAACGTATTTCGTTGACACGCTTAGTCGATTGTGGATGGCTTCGGGGCATGAATCTGCAACCAGTAGTATTATCGGAAACGGTTGATGGTTGACAATATTGTCGCGGGGTGCAAACAATATGCAAATGCTCATATTGGAAGGACCCAGGGAATGAGACGATAGGATGAGTTACGTTCATAATAGGTATCAGCGCTTATGTATAAACCTTAAGTGTTCAGATCGGTCATGCCAAACTCCAACGAAATACTAAACTTGGATTCACTTTTGAGACAGTAACCGGTTTGCACAGTGTTGCCGTATACAATGCGCGTACAACATGTACCATTTAGGATGTTATGTGTAGGAGATGCAGCGTTGTTTGTATGTGTTTGAATCCCTCTAGCCACAAATATGGTGGTGCATCGCTGTGATAGACGTATTCCTCCC